ATTAGTATTGAGATAGAATATATAATAATTGTTTATTGAATTTTTGTCAAAAGGAAAATTATATCGTAAGCCCTCCAAACCCAAAAGGAACAAAGTATAAATAAATAATAAAAATAAAATATATATACACATACACACATATTATAATAAAAATAATAATTCTCTAAATAGATGAGAATGATGATGGTATTATCTTCATTGAAAGATTAAAACATAAGACTTAACGAGTATAAATGGGAACCGTTTTTCCCCTTAACTGACACCCTCCTCCTTCCCTCCCCCGGCCGTTCCACTCTCTTTTCGCAAAGTTTACCGAAGTAACCGTGTAATTTTGGATTACAACGACTGCGTGTTAAAATCTAGGTCTTAACCGCGGTCGAATACGCGTTGCCATGCGACGAAACTACTACGGTGCAGGCAGGTAGGTACTCAAAGGTAATCGTGTACACCCTGAGCCTGAGTGCGAGCATAATCCTCATCTCATTCCATGCGGGTTTGACAACGGGAAGGGCTCTGTCACCTCGAGCACGATTCATGAAGAGCCCAGCTGGACTCAAAGCGTCCGCGTTCCACAGTTTTATGGATGATGGTAGGTTGGTAGGTATGTAGGTAACTCTTTTCTATGTGTATATGTGTTGTGTTATATACTACCACCCTCCTCCTCCTCCTCCTCTTCAACCAACCCCTCTCTTACTCTCTGTTATGCTCTTCATATTCACGAACTTTCATCAATTTCCCATTCTCCATTTCCTATCCCATCCCTTTGTGATTTAGTTCTAGTTATTGTTGTCGATACCTTCCCACCCCTTTCTACCCCTTTCTCCTCCTGGTGCCACTGCTACCACCATGTAAGAGGATCTATTTATTTTACCATTAAATGATGTTCCTATCAATTCCTTCTCACCCCCTTCCTTCTTTTTCTTTTTCTTTTTTTCTTGCTCTTACTCTCTCTCTTTTTTAGATTTCCTTTTTACCTCAGCAAAAATTTGAACCCCCTAGCTCCTTTTTATCGAACTATCGATTACTTCAGATCGCTTCTCAGATTACACTATCTATCGAAACTTTTTTACGAAAACGATACTTCCTCGATACTTTCACCCTATCATTTTACCCCTTCATCTACTAAACTTTAGGGTTTATAATATATATATACAATATTTAAGTTGAACTATATATGGAGTATAAAAAATTAATGAAATATTTTATTTATTCATAGTTAACACATTAAACTTAATTATAATTTGCGATTAAACAAACGATCGTGCATAATTATTAATTTTGTAGATATTTTGTAATTTGTAAAAAGCCAAAAAAAAAAAATTGCAGTGAAAACGTATATAAAATGTATATATATATTATTCTATATATGTATATATATAATATATATTATTATAAATAAAAATGAGAAAAAAATATATATATTATTCATTATCCAATTGATTAAAATCTCAATCAACAATATATATTAGTTATACACAGGAAGTATCGGGGTAGGTTTAGTGTTAACAATTTATAATCTGCGTGCATAATTATTAATTTTATAGATATTCTGTAATTTGTAAAAAGCCAAAAAAAAAATTGCAATGAAAACGCATATAAAATGTATATATATATATATAATATATATTATTATTACTACTGCTACACACACATACACTGCGTAATATAATATATATTATTATTAATAAAAATGAGAAAAAAATATATATATTATTCATAATCCAATTGATTAAAATCTCAATCAACAATATATATTAGTTATACACAGTAAATATCGCGGTAGGTTTAGTTTTAATAATTGCAAAATGTAAATCATTAGTATAACATGGTTTCAGCTTTCATTAAACGAATTAATTATTGATTATCTAAATGAGAGAACGTTTAACATTTCGAATGACGACGATTCGTTGATATATATGAATATTTCGATATTCAATCCGTTGGCTGTTATTCAAATGTTTCTTCCCTCTCGTTGTTTTCCTTTCTTTCTTTCTTTGTTTTTTATATTTTTTAAATATATATAAAATTATAATTAATATCTTCTTTTTTTATCCGCGTTGAAAAATACGCGTTTAACCGGGAATTTTTATACGTTTTTAAAATGTAATATAATTAAGAAGTTAATTTCTATCTTATAGTCGACTATAAACGGTTTTGTATTTTTTTTCTTTTTTTTTTTTTTTTGGGTTAAATCTCTTTTCTCCTTTCTTCCTTTTATACTCATCACCCTCTCTCCCCCTCCCCCTTTCCTCGCACATAATCCTGCTAATTACGTGAATATTACGGGGGGAGAAAAATGAAAAAGGAAAAAATTAAAAATTAAAAAAAAAAAAAAAAACAGAAAAAAAAGAATAAAAATTCCCAGATACCTACTTTTACTCTGACGTCTGAGAGAGAAATGAATTTGAGCCCCTGGCGTTTCTCTCTTTTATAAACTACCTAGGTACCCCATCCCCCACCCCCAACCTCACCACCTTTCCTCGTCCTTTACCATTTCTTCTATCACTGCAGCTTTTTTTTGTATAACTCAAATGCTGCATTTCATCGTTCATAGATTTTCGACTTTCATAATTATTGGAAACGCAAAACTTTTTAATCGATTTTTAAAATCAATTAATCATTTTTTTTTTCGGTTTGTATTAGGTATTTAAGACTCGTTTTTTTTTTTAAATTATCTTTCATTCCGATCGTAAAATTACAACAAGTTTAAGAATTTGATTTTTTTTATCAAATTTCATCCTGTGTGTTTAAAAGTTCGAATTATAAGCTTATATAACATTCTTTGTTTTTTATTTATTTATATTTATTCGTTTACGTTAATAATTCGTTATTATTATCAAAGCTAATGGAATAATGATAAAAATATATTAATAGAAATAATTTTGTTCGCGAATTGAAAAGAAAAAAATAAGATGTATAAATTTTGTTGTTCGTATTTTAAACGAACAGTTTCATCTCAAACGATATTCTAATTTTTTAATATAATCATTGCAACCTTTTCAATATAAGTCCAAAGTTTATAACGAATTCCGATATCGTTTATCGTAGAAATAAATTACTATGCGTTGTTAAAACAAATTCATAAAGGATAATTCATCATCACGTTGAATATACGCTCATGCATATGAATAACACAACATATGTTCGTATAATATATATA